CTCTTTAGCGGCAGCGCGCGCATGCCGTAACAGCTGCGCGGAACCCTATTTTCAAAGTCAAATTAAAATTATAAATAATGGAGAAAGAGTTTCGGCTTTTTTATCGGAAATTTCCTCCTCTTCAACAAGCTTTTTTCAAAATTGCTTAAATATTAATATTTTTGAGTTATTAACGAAAAACTAAATACCATTTTTTAAAAATCTTATTTTGTTAATAACAACTGCAATTTTTTACCTGCACCAAAATCTTTCAAAAACATTTTTCTAGAGGTGATTCCCAATCGAATGAGCCATCGCTTATATTTTTAGGACCTTTATCTCTATTTTTCATGTTTTTGAACTTGTTGATTAGACTATGAAATCAGTATGGGAATGATCAGAATAGTACTTATCTTTTGATTTTCATGGAATTAATTTCCGGCAGGTTGACTTCATTAACTTTTCTCTGTCTACTACCCAGGTCTCGTCACTGGTATCTGCAAGGGTGGATCTGATTTACAGCAAGCTCATGTTCATAGGTTCTTCTGTTGGTTTGGCTCATGTAAGTTCTGGAGCAGGTGGAACATGGTATTTCGTATATGCCCTGTGCCTAATTGGGTATCGTGCACTTAGGTGTTCGTAGAAAAATGGAAATTTTGATTGTTGGCTGTGAATACTGTTCTTATATCGTGTCTCTTCAGAACTCAGCTCACTTTATCTATAACTCCTGAATATAAGAAAGAAAAGCTTTTAGATGGTCCGTTCACTTCAGATCACAATGACTTGATTTCTTTATAAATTTCATCAATTTTTTATTTCTGCAAATTTGTACACTTTTTGACTTTTAACCAAATATTTCAGTCCGATTATTTTTAGTATTTTTAATTATTTTCACATTTCATTCATTTTGATTTTATTTATTTGTTCTTTCATAGATTTCAAATCTGTGAACACCATTTTAGGCAATGGAAGTCACCAAAAAATATTGTCAACCATTTTCAAATAAATCTGATAATATCAAATATCTAATAATAAATCTGAATTTTCTGAAAAACAGCATGGTTATTCATAGTCATAGTGTTAAGTGGACATACTTTTAGTAGTAAAATTAAGTGGTTAGGCTCATTCGATCCGGAATATTGCCTAGATCATTGTGAAAAAGTAAATTAGTTCATACAAAATTCTAAAAGTTATAAACAATTAAAGACCCTAGATAGTCTAGTTCACATGTACTTTTTTTTGTAACATTTTTCAGCCCTGTCCAAAAATTACGACCAAGGTGTCATTCGATTCATATTTTTGCTAGAAAGTTTAAGGAAAGGTCCGAAAACGTGCACTGATAAAAATTAGAAAAGTTATAAACAATTAAGTGAAAAAAAAATGGGGCTTTAGTTTTTTCTTAATAGGTATCTCGGAAAATTTTCAAAATTTTGGAAATTTGAAAAAAGATTTGAAAAGATCAATGAATTTGCGTAAAAAAAGTCCCGACTCCCGAAACTGTATCTCGATTATTTATAATTTTTACAGAGCCCTGAAAATAGAGCCAAAAGCGGGTAGTCTG